TGAAAGTGTTGAACTGTTTCTATAGCTCGTTAATGCAATTTACGAATTCCTGCCTCTGAAAGAGCGCTGCTGTGTTTAACCCTCTCTATAACTGGTCTGCGGTGACAGTGTTATACAGACGATTATCTCAACCATCATAGTGTTATAGCTGATATCGTCGAGTTTCCTCTTTCTCTGTACAAAAAGGAGGTGGTGACAGTGTGAAGGGTTAATTGCGTAATTAACCTGACCCATTAACAATCGCTACCAGGCTGCCGGTACATCGATTGTGGTCCAATTAGCTGGAAAATCGTTGTGCAGGGTGCAGCATTGTCACGCACGTGACATCGCGGTTTTAGATTGGCTAGTCCTTCGGTCACGAGTTTGGTGAGAAGGTCAGGGGTCTGACGCCACATTCGTCACAGTACCCACCGTTACTAAGAACTATAGATGTATGTTATAAGGTAAGGGAGCAAGTCATGAAAGAACACCAACAGGCTGGTGTTCCATCAACAGGTATAGTGGGCTCCATCAAACTGCAGGGGTCCTGAATTCCACGCACGTCTCATTATTTACTACTTCATCATGTAAAAGTGCAACTCACAGAGTACATCTCTAGGTTAAGTGTGTTCAGCACTATTGGAGATGTTGACCCTATGGCCCTGATTTACTAAGACTTGAGTCTACCAGCAGACTCTGAACATTCAGGCAGACTCAGTTAAATCAATCAAGACCTGTCAGTCTTCTGAGCGGCGTCTAGTAATCTCATTGACAAACGTCTACTTTGCAATTAGTAAATGTGGAATCGCAACTGGCACATTTTTTAGGTGCAATACCGGATATGTTCGCTAGATGGCGCAGAAGCGCGGGCTTTGTCCCCTTGGCGGTTTCCTGTTAGCAAAAGAGAATACTTAGAACGTAACATAATTAGCACACCTATATTAAAAATGTGCTTACTTGTTAGCTACTATGATTAAATTAATCAATTTATTGAGTAAATAAACCCACCTGTGGTTCGCTGACACTCACACTAACTCATCAAATAGTGCTATGTAACTAAAAGTAATATATAAAGCAGTGTCGCGCTCCCATATACTAATAAAAATTAATAAAAATTAAAAAATTAATAGAGATTAATAAAAATTATGCTGTGTATCACATATATCACTCTATATAAATATATTACTGTGCTAATTATTCTTAGTGAAAACAAAAAAATCACATTGATATATCCAAGTCCATATTTGAAAATTAATATAAATGTAAGTGTAATAATAATAATAATAATAAATGTGCACAAAGTCCTCTTCCAATTAGTTCAGCATCAAAAAGTGCCACTCCCAAAATCTGCGTGCAATATGTGCTTAGTATGCGCTCACCTTATGTTTTGCCTAAAACAATAGGCAAAAAACGCTTGTTGTCCTCATAGGACTGGTGTAACTATATTCCTCCTTTTGTAAAAATTCCTCCAGATATAAAATGGACCGTTGCAATAATATTTTATTCCACCTGGGGTCTCTCCACTCTATCAGTATACTACAGTATATACATAGAGGAAATGGATGGATGGATCTCTCCCTTTTTCCTCCAGGGGTCTCCCTCCACCTTTAAATAGCCTCTGTTCGATGTATCTCAGATGGGTATCATAGGAGAAAAACAGAAACCATGGTGCCTTATCCTTTTTAAATGGTAATTTATTAGTGATCAGATTTGCCACTTACATGATAACACTTCTTCCATGAGCTAGTGAGAGCATTGCCTGTAGTATCTGCTATACTCGCGGTACTAATCCGAGACCACGTCGTGACGTCAGAGCCCCTCCCCTACGCGTTGCGTCACCAGGTCACGTGACTTCCTCAGGGAGTTATGATTGGACATCACAACTTTCATAGCTGTATTTATATATGACGGCCGCCATTTTGTTGTAGTCCGCATGCGCGCGGCCATTTTCCTAAGGTCTCATTTCTATGTGATGTATCCTCCAGTTATTGCATGCATTGGACTAAAAATCATAAGACTATTTGTAAGGGACCGCCCGGCGGTACCACTAGCACTCCACTGAATAAGCGTCCCCAGCGCACGGAATCTAAGTCCCAGGGTGCTTGTTCACCAGGGCCCCTGATGGTGGGGATGGACTTGGAGCCCCCCGAGACCAGGTCGTGGCTACTGGGTGCGTCCGTCAGTGGTAGTGGTATGCGCCAAGGGCTCCCACGGGAAAGAGTCTGATATGAGGAGGTCAGAAGACCCCACTGCGAGGGATGGGCGGATGGATGAGCAAGGTCAGACGGGCCGGGTCGGTATCAGAGAGGGCGGCAAGGTACAAGGCAGCGGGCAGAGAATGGTCGGGTCACACGCCAGGTCAGCAACAGCAGGTCAAATCCAATAGGGGGCATCCAGGAGAGAGGTCAGGCAAAGCAAGGGTCAGGACAGGAGAAAATAGCAAGGTCAGGTACAATCTGGGTCAATAACTTACAGGGCACAGGTTCGCAGAATCACAGGATACAGGAAAGACCAGAAGGCACTGAATGACAGCTCAGGGCCATTTAAATATCCCGCCCTGCGCTGCCATTGGTGCCCAGCGGGCGGCCGCGGCTTCTACTGCGCATGCGCGAACTCGAACGCCGCGCCGGCCCGGACCTAGTGCCCGTGTCCCTGCACAAGGCGGTGCACTGCGCCTGCGCCGGGACTATCGCGGCGGGGATCGAGGAGATCCCTGGCACTATTACTCTGTATTGTCTGACGTAGATGGACTTTTTGGCTGTATACCATGATATCCAGGCTTATGCTTAATCACTATGTACATCATATAAAACATCATATAAAACAATTCCCCATTATATTATAATTGTATTAAAAACAACCAACTGCATTGTTAAAATCATTATCATTTAAAATACCTTTAATCTTATTTTTTTTTTTAATTTCTCTATCACTAATTATTGGTAATCACCCCGTACATATCATTAATTATACTAATTATATCTTATCAAAAAATACATATTATAAAAAGCTAACATTTTTTTAAAAAATTCATACATCTCAGAGTTACATATAATGTATAAAATTCTGAAACGAGGGGGTATAATGTGATATTTCTGATAGCATATCCACATACTGTTATTATGTGTGTCCACGTGGATGTATGAATCCATCTAAATTACATCTAAATAGTAAATTATTGCTTCAACTCCTAGTGGTGGATCCTAGGAATTCACCCATTCCTAATCCTTTTTTATGATGGGATATGAATCCACAGAGGGGGAGGGAAGAGGAAAAAAACCAACAAGGAAAAGAGGAAGTAGAGGAGGGAAAAGGTCAAAACAAACAAAAAAAAAAGGAACTAAAGGGTGAGGGAATTTTTAACCTTAGTGGCCTACCCCTCAAAGAAGAAATACATGCTTTAGATAAAGGTTTAATAGTTGCCCACCATAAAGGTTTAAATAAATTTGAGACATATGTTAGCATTCATAAATTAATTAGGAAATTAAATCTTAAAAAATATTATGCTGATACTCCTTTGATACAGAATATTAGTGAGATAGAACAGACAGCACATAGTCACCTTAGGAACAAATCAACCTTCAACCCCAATATAGGAGACAAATATATAGACACTTTTAAAAAAAATAGTACTAAAAGATCTTGAATCTATACAAATAAAAAAACAAAGAAACCACAGCATTAAAGAAAGGTATAGATAGCCTCAACAAGAGAAAGGATAGAAAGGATATAGTAATACGTCCAGCAGACAAGGGAGGAGGTATAGTGGTACAGTCTAAAGCATACTATGAATCCATTATGACCAATATGCTTAATGACAGAGATACATATGAGTTATTAGTGGGGACTCCCACCAAAACATACAAAAGAGAATTGACTAAACTCATACACTATGGGAGTAGTAGGGGAGTACTAAATGAGAAAGAAGCTAAATATTTAATTCCATCAGTATGTAGACTACCAATAATGTATTCTGTTCCCAAAATACAAAAAGACAGTATTAATCCCCCAGGCAGACCCATAATAAATGGTATAGATTCATTAACGGCTAGACTGAGTGAATACGTGGATAATTATCTTCAACCTCTAGTGACCAAAACTAAAGCTTACTTGAGGGATACCAAACATGCTATACAAATAATTAAGAATGTTAATGTTAATTCAAATACCCTCTTGAGCACAGCAGATGTTGCATCGCTTTATACCAATATAGACCATGAAGGAGCGATAGAAGCGGCGAAATGGGCCCTTAATAAATATGCAGACATTTCTATTAAACATAAAAAATGTATAATTAAATGTTTGAAATTTTATTTGATACAGAACTACTTCTGCTATGACAAGAATTACTATTTACAAATCAAAGGAGTAGCAATGGGCGCTAAATTCGCCCCCAGTATAGCTAATCTATATATGGCAAAATGGGAAGATTTGAATATCTTCCAAAACATAAGACAAGAAATATTGGTATATAACAGATACCGTATTTTTCGCTCCATAAGACGCACCTGACCATAAGACGCACCTAGGTTTTAGAGGCAGAAAACAGGAAAAAAAATTCTGAACTAATGGACTGCAGACATAGTACAGGAGATGACCAGAGACTGCGGACACAGTACAGGAGATGACCAGAGACTGCGGACACAGTACAGGGATGACCAGAGACTGTGGACACAGTACAGGGATGACCAGAGACTGCGGACAACACAGGGATGACCAGGGACTGCGGACAGCACAGAGATGACCAGAGACTGCGGACAGCACAGGGATGACCAGAGACTGCGGACAGCACAGGGATGACCAGAGACTGCGAACACAGTACAGGGATGACCAGAGACTGCGGACACAGTACAGGAGATGACCAGAGACTGCGGACACAGTACAGGAGATGGACCAGAGACTGCGGACACAGTACAGGAGATGACCAGAGACTGCGGACACAGTACAGGGATGACCAGAGACTGCGGACACAGTACAGGAGATGACCAGAGACTGCGGACACAGTACAGGAGATGACCAGAGACTGCGGACACAGTACAGGAGATGACCAGAGACTGCGGACACAGTTCAGGGATGACCAGAGACTGCGGACACAGTACAGGGATGACCAGAGACTGCGGACAGCACAGGGATGACCAGAGACTGTGGATAGTACAGGGGATGACTGCTGACCTTTGGGGAGGGGGGGGAGCGGGTACCTGAATTTGACAGATACCGGCTCCCACTTCCGCTGAGTTGTTCTTTCATCTTACCTGTTCCTCTATCCAGCCGCGCGCTGTCTTCCCGGCTTCTGTAATGGCGCTCAGCATGACAGTCGGGTGCCCAGTGCGCATGAGCGAGAAGCACTTGCGCTTTGTGATTGGTCCGGCGGCTTCTGGGATCTGTCATGTGTCCCAGGTGCCGCCTTACCATTCACAAAAAGCACCGCTTCCTGCGCATGCGCACTTGGCACCCGGCTGTCATGCCCACACTACAGAAGCCGGGAAGACCGCGCCGCTGGATAGAGGAACGGGTAAGATGAAAGAACAACTCCACGGAAGTGGGAGCGGGTATCTGTCAAATTCAGGTACCCGCTCCCCCCCCTCCCCAAAGGTCAGCAGTCATCTCTATAAGGTCCCGCTGTAGAGCTGAGCGGCCGGCCCGGTATTCTGACACGGTGGCAGTGGAAATACCGGACCGGCCGCTCCATATTCGCTCCATAAGACGCACTGACATTTTCCCCCCTTTTTTGGGGGGAAAAAAGTGCGTCTTATGGTGCGAAAAGTATGGTATATTGATGACCTATTAATTATATGGGATGGGGATAAAACTTGTCTCATGAAATATTATGAGGATTTAAATAAGAATGAAAAAAACATAAGCTTGAGTTGGGTTATACATAAGGAAAAAATTAATTTTTTGGACATCCAAATTTTGAAAGAAGGATCCCTAATGTATGCAAAAAATTATTTTAAGACAACAGATAGGAATGCGTACATCCCAATAAATAGTTGCCATCATAAATCATGGCTTAATAACATACCCAGAGGCCAAATTTATGAGACTCAAGAGGAATTGCACTAAATATGAAGATTATGTAGAACAGAGTCTAATACTATCTGAGAGACTTATTAAAAAAGGATATAACAAAGAGAGAGTAGAGGAAGAGAGAAAAAAGGTGGGATTGATGAATAGAATGGATATGCTGTCCAATAAACCGAAGAAGAAGAATACTAAAGAAGAGGAATTATCGGTAATGCTACATTATAATAAACAGTATAAAGCAGTTCAAAAAATAATCAGTAAACATTGGAAGATTTTACAACTGGATAAACAATTAAAAAATATGATTCCAGAAAAAACGAGATTTATTTATAAAAAAGCCCCTACTATAAAAGATAAGGTTGTAAAAAGTATATTAGAACCTCCAGTCAGGAATAATATTAGTTTTTTTCAAGGCATAGGGTTTTATGCGTGTGGTAGATGTTACAGTTGCAGCAGAGTAACACATAATCCCAGACGAAAGTTTACATTTAATAATAGCAATAATGGGAAAGAGTAAAATTTGACAGTTTATATCTTGCGACACTAAAGGGGTAATCTATGCCTTGAAATGTCCATGTAACTTAATTTATATAGGACGTACTAAGAGATTACTGAGGGAACGCATTAAGGAACATGTATACAACATTAACAGAGGCTATAAATACCATTATGTGTCACAGCATTTTAAACGATACCACAACAAAGATGCTAGTTGTTTAGAATTTTGGGGTATAGAAAACACACCCAACACTGGAGAGGTGACAATATCATTAGAGAAATAAGTAAAAAGGAATCCAAGTGGATATATGAAATGAGAAATTTAGCCCCGAATGGGTTAAAGAATTTGATTTGACATGCTTTATCGATAATTTTTAAAAAATCACGTCGGGACTACATCAGATTTTAAACATTTTAACCTATAGCAAGCATATATTTATATAATAATGAGATGTAGTATAACATTTTTTAATTGTATTTTTTACCATTAGTAATTTTTATCTTAGTTAAATATCCATTACTATGTCCTAAGGGGTAGTAGAGACTAGGATCCACCACTAGGAGTTGAAGCAATAATTTACTATTTAGATGTAATTTAGATGGATTCATACATCCACGTGGACACACATAACAGTATGGGGATATGCTATCAGAAATATCACATTATACCCCCCTCGTTTCAGAATTTTATACATTATATGTAACTCTGAGATCTATGAATTTTTAAAAAAAATGTTAGCTTTTTATAATATGTATTTTTTAATAAGATATAATTAGTATAATTAATGATATGTACGGGGTGATTAAAAATAATTAGTGATAGAGAAATTTAAAAAAAATAAGATTAAAGGTATTTTAACTGTTAATGATTTTAACAATGCGGTTGGTTGTTTTTAATACAATTATAATATAATGGGGAATTGTTTTATATGATGTTTTTATATGATGTACATAGTGATTAACTACTTGAGCTCCTGAGGATTTACCCCCCTTAATGACCAGGCCTCTTTTTGCTACTCGGCGCTGCACTAATTCAACTAATAATTGCGCGGCCCATGCAATGCTGCACCTAAACTAAATTTACGTCCTTTTTTCACACAAATAGAGCTTTCTTTCGGTGGTATTTGATCACCTGTGCGCTTTTTATTTTTCACGCTATAATCAAAAAAAGACCAAATATTTTGAAGAAAAGTGATATTTTTTACTTTCAGCTATAAAAAAATATATAGTAAACTCAAAGTTAGTTATAAATTGTGCCAAAATGTATTCTGCTACATGTTTTAGGTAAAAAAAATCCCAATAAGTGTATATTGATTGCTTTGTGTGAAAGTTATAGCGTCTACAAACTATGGTATAGATACTGCAATTTACGACATTTTTTGCTATACAGCGCTGCGCTTGTTTAACGGACAATTGCGCGGTCATGCAATACGGTACATAAATGAAATTTATGTCCTTTTTTTTTTTTTTTTTTTTTTTACACACAATAGAGCATTCTTTTGGTGGTATTTGATCACCTGTGCACATTATGTATTTTTTTAAAGAAGACACCCTAGTGAATAAAATGGTGGGTACTACAATTTTTTATGGCACATAGTACTTGCGCAGCGATTTTTTACAAGCAATTGTTAAAATAAAAATACAAAAGTAAAATTTTTTTACTTTTAATGCACAAAAACACAATATATTGGCCAATTGTTTGGAAAAATATAAAAGATAATGGTATGCCGAGTAAATAGATACCAAACATGACATGCTTTAAAACTGCGCATGCCCCGTTCAATGGCAACAAACTGCAAACATTTTTAATATCCATAGGCAGCGCTTTAAAAGCCACCATTTTAGATTTACAGAGGAGGTCTAGTGTTAGAATTACTGCCCTTGATCTGACGTTCACGGCAAAACCTCACATGCATGGTGCAACCGCTGTTTACATAACGGCACAGGGTTAAGGCGTGCGTGGGAGGGGCAATTTTTTTTTTTTTTAGTTATTTTGATTTTTTTTATTATTTTTACATTGTACCTTTTCATTTTTATTTTTTTTTAATCACTCTTAATGCTATAACAGGGAATAACCCCTATAACTTCAATGGGCATTGTCATATATTCTTTTTTTCAGAAATCTGGGGTCTATCAGACTCTAGATATCTCCTCTGCCCTTACATTATCTAATCAAACCAAAATTGGTGTGATCAGATGCTTTCCCAATTTACAAATGGCGCTGTTTATATCCTGCGAAACTGAAGTGATGAAATGCTCGTAGCTTCTGACTTCTTAGACTATAGAGATGATTGGCACCATTCAGGTCTCCAATCAGCTCCTCAACGCAGATGTTTTGCTGGGGAGTATAGACATCTCCAATCAGCTCTATGGTCAGCTGGCAGAAACACCGGCTGCATTCTCAGGTTCCCCTGATGGCACGGGACTGCCCGAGAAGGCTGTGGAAGGCAGCGGGTAAGGGGGGACATCATCTCCCACTGCTTGTAAAAACAATCTTGCAACTAATTAGCCACTAGGATTGCTTTTACATGAAAGCCGATCACCGGCTGAAAAAAAACGACACCAGGATGATGCCTGCAGCTGTGGGCATCATCCTGGTATAACCATTAAAATCCAGTGATGTACCAGTACATCGCTGGTCCTTGTTGGTTATATATGCTATGTTCTTTTTTTTTTTTTGTATGCAGCCAGTGGACTGAATGAAAAAATAAGAAATCTCTGCCAGAAAAAGTGTGTGGTATGCCCACCATTAGAATATACCGCCCTGCATCCACCCCCTTCTAATGGTGGGCAGACATTAGGTCACACTTTGCCACAAGTGCCAGTTCCAAGATTGAATAAATGTCTAAATAGTGGCACGCTTGAATAAAAATTGTCCACGTATAAGTGGTACCCCATATGGAGAAATGATGACACCAAGTCCCAAACCATCTTGCCACTGCTCCCCATGTAGTCTGGGCATCCGGGCGGGCTCCACGTGACTAGCTTTTCCCCTCGTAAATCTGAAACTTATAAAGTATAGCCTGTTGTCCTCTCACAGGTCTTCTACATCTTAACCCCATATTTGGCACGCTTGCAGGGGAGAAATTGTTTGAATGCAAGGCGGCCAGAAAAATTAATAAGGGACTCCTCAACGCAGATGTTTTGCTGGGGAGTATAGACATCTGCAAATTTTAGGTTAAGGTGATTTGCGAGGGGCTGAATTTTGTGGAGCCGGTCAAATTCAGGGTTACCCCGAGGATGACAGAGTGTATTGTCACTGAAATGCATAAAACACATTATACTCTCATATCTATGCCTGGCCATGGCAGCAGAGAACACGGCATATGATGAATCGGGTCTGCGGACCAATACAACCGCAATTCATTTCTTTTAGTAATGCCCATGTTGAAAAAATTAAATTTGAAAACCGTAATGAGTTTCCATGCGAATGGTCTGGCAAAGTTTGAATTTGGGTTGGCAGCAATCAATTGTTGTGCATATAAACTGCTTTGATCCACAATCAACGCATACAGATATTCCGTGAATAACAGCTCCAAAAATCAAGGAGGTATGTGCAAAAGCAGGATGTACTAGAAAGCTGGTACTCGCCAGTTCACCAAAAGGAAGAGCGGCACTAGTACTGGCACTCTGCTGCATATGAGTCATCAAAATTTACCGGCAAGTGCTAACAGAGATCAGGCTTGATTCTGCAAACACTGCGGTTTTGTGTGCAATGTATCAAGTGACAGTGACCTACTGACACTGCACTTGCTGGGGGAGAAGGGGGGGTAAGCGTAGGGGCTAAACGCAGGTGTTGGAAGGTGCAGGGGCTGATCCCGCTGACGCTGCATTTTTGGGGACGCTATACTAATGTGAACGCTGGTATAGTGCCGACCTGATCAAAGATATTGACCCGTTCAGACACTATACTAGCAATGGAGGTTTATTGTACATGAGCGTGCTCCTGGCAATCAAGGGGTTAAATGTGATTACTGGTGTACTGACGGGCAATCTGACGCTATCTGGTAGGGGCGTGAAAACCACGGCAGCGCGAATCACGTATATATATATATGTGATTTTGCGTACCCATGCCGCCCTGTAGTAGTATTTTCTGCTGTAGGGTGGTCAGGAAGCGGTTACAGAAGAGGTTTGTGTTACGGCGCTGCGTTACTTTAACTGACAATTGCGCTGTCATGCAACACTGCACCCAAATTAAATTTACATCCTCCTTTTTTTCCACAAATTGAGCTTTCTTTCGGTGGTATTTGATCACCTGTGCGGTTTTAATTTTTTGCGCTTTAAAAAAAAAAAAAGGCTGACAATTTTGAGAAAAAAAAAACAATATTTTGGACTTTTTGCTATAAAACATGTCCAGTAGAAAAAATTAAAAAAATCAAGTTTTGTCACAAATTTCATCCAAAATGCATTCTGCGACATGTCTTTGCTAAAAAAAAAAAAAATCCCAATACGTGTAAATTAATTGGTTTACATGAAAGTTAGAGCGTTTCCAAACGGCAAGAAAGATACTGGGATTTTTAATTTATATTTATACTAATAATGGCGGCGATCAGCGACATATGGCGGCGATCAGCGACATATGGCGGCGATCAGCAACTTATGGCAGGACTGCGGCGGACATTTTGACACTGGGGGGGAACTGACTTGGGGTCACTGACATCCCCAGTGACACCAATACAGTTATCAGTGAAAAAAACCCCCACTAACACTGTACTAATGGCACTGGGGAGGAAGGGGTTAACATTTTTAGAATTGTGTGAGGGGAGTGTTTTACTAGGGGGCAGTGGTGTGTGCTGGATGGGGACAGGCTGATCGAGGGAGAGAAACTCTTCTCTCCCTCTGCAGCTTGTCACGAGCTGTCAGAGAACTGACACAGAGCAGGGCTGTGTGTAAACAATGCGGCGCTGCTCTGTGTCAGCGATCACCGTGAATCCTGGGGAAACGACCGGTAATCACCGGGCGTGACCCGGCTGCTGACACCCGCGGGACAGGTAGGACGCACGCGAGTGGTTTTGCCTGACCTGCAACCATTTTAATGCGGTGGCTGGGCGGCAAGTGGTTAAGCATAAGCCTGGATATCATGGTATACAGCCATAAAGTCCATCTACGTCGGAAAATACAGAGTAATAGTCTTATCAATTATAGTCCGATGCATGCAATAACTGGAGGATACATCACATAGAAATGAGACCTTAAAAAAAATGGCCGTGCGCATGCAGACTACAACAAAATGGCGGCCGTCATATATAAATACAGCTATGAAAGTTGTGATGTCCAATCATATCCCCCTGAGGAAGTCACGTGACCTGGTGACGCAATGCGTAGGGGAGGGGCTCTGACGTCACGACGTGGTCTCAGATTAGTACGGCGAGTATAGCAGATACTACAGGCAATGCTCTCACTAGTTCATGGAAGAAGTGTTATCATGTGAGTGGCAAATCTGATCACTAATAAATTACCATTTGAAAAGGATAAGGCACCATGGTTTCTTTTTTCTCCCTATGATACCCATCTGAGATACATCGAACAGAGGCTATTTAAAGGTGGAGGGAGACCCCTGGAGGAAAAAGGGAGAGATCCATCCATTTCCTCTATACAGTATACTGATAGAGTGGAGAGACCCCAGGTGGAATAACATATTATTGCAACGGTCCATTTTATATCTGGAGGAATTTTTACAAAAGGAGGAATATAGTTACACCAGTCCTATGAGGACAACACACATTTTTTGCCTATTGTTTTAGGCAAAACATAAGGTGAGCGCATACTAAAAACATATTGCACATGGATTTTGGGATTGGCACTTTTTGATGCTGAACTACCGTATTTTTTCGCTCCATAAGACGCACCTGACCATAAGACGCACCTAGGTTTTAGAGGTGAAAAACAAGAAAAAAAAATATTCTGAACCAATGGACTGCAGACACAGTACAGGGGATGACCAGAGACTGCGGACATAGTACAGGAGATGACCAGAGACTGCGGACATAGTACAGGAGATGACCAGAGACTGCGGACATAGTACAGGAGATGACCAGAGACTGCGGACATAGTGCAGGAGATGACCAGAGACTGCGGACACAGTGCAGGAGATGACCAGAGACTGCGGACAGTGCAGGGGATGACCAGAGACTGCGGACAGTGCAGAGGATGACCAGAGACGGCGGACAGTGCAGGGGATGACCAGAGACGGCGGACAGTGCAGGGAATGACCAGAGACTGCGGACAGTGCAGGGAATGACCAAAGACTGCGGACACAGTGCAGGGAATGACCAGAGACTGCAGACAGTGCAAGGAATGACCAGAGACTGCAGACAGTGCAGGGAATGACCAGAGACTGCAGACAGTGCAGGGAATGACCAGAGACTGCAGACAGTGCAGGGAATGACCAGAGACTGCAGACAGTGCAGGGAATGACCAGAGACTGCAGACAGTGAAGGGAATGACCAGAGACTGCTGACCTTTGGGGAGGGAGGGGGATCGGGTACCTGAATTTGACAGGTACCCGCTCCCACTTCCGCGGAGTTGCCTTCCCTCTTCTTCCCGGGCCGGCTTCTGTGACAGCCGGGTGCCCACTGCGCATGTGCGAGAAGCGCTGCGCTTTGGGAATGGCCCGGCGCCTTCTGGGACCTTTCATGTGTCCCAGAAGACACCGGATCATTCACAAAGCGCCGCACATGCGCAGTGGGCACACGGCTGTCACAGAAGCCAGCGCGGGAAGACTGTGCAGCGCTGGAGCGAGGAACAGGTAAGGCCCTGCAGGAGAGAACAGCTGAGCGGCCGGCCCGGTATTCTGACATGGTGGCTGCAAAAATACCGGACCGGCCGCTTTATATTTGCTCCATAAGACGCACTGACATTTCCCCCCCCTTTTTTTGGGGGAAAAAAGTGCGTCTTATGGAGCGAAAAATACGGTAATTGGAAGAGGACTTTGTGCACATTTATTATTATTAAGTGTTCTTGCAAGAACACTTGTTATCTCACAAATATATTCTTATTCTTATTAAGTGTTCTTGCAAAGAACACTTATTGTTATCTCACAAATATATTCTTATTCTTATTCCGTTTCTTATTATAGCCAAATTTGCCACGCTAACTCCTCCCACAGTTTTTACACTACAAAGACAAGTAATATATCAAAACGTGTGGATTGTTCCCGATCGGATTGCTGTTACTTTGTGGAACGTTTCGCCAAATGGTTCACGAAATATCGCCGTTTTTGTGGTGAAATTTTCCTATAGGAATGCATGGAGCAACTAGAGTGGGACATGAGAAAGCTACAGTGTGGAAGGAAAAATCAGAACATGATTTCTAAACTGCCATCACTGTCATTTTCAAGACCACCTACACATATCTTATATCAAAACGTCCAGCTAACCCTGCTGTCACTAAAAAATGTTCACTGCTAAGCCATACTCCTGATAGTTTTCACAATATGACCATTTGTTTGCAACTCACCCCTCCCATTGACTTTCATTGAAACTTCACTCACTTCGCAGTAGCATTTATACTTTTAAAACTACAAGTGTTTGAAGATAGCAATTGCCAGTGAAGTTGGCAAGTTGGAGCAGTGTGTTTAGCAAAGCCTGTCAGCTTCCTGACTGAGTGAGTTGCTATAGCAACCAAAGATGACTCACAGGCAGCTGAGTCAGGGAGGCTAACTGTGAGCTGCAAAATACAAGCTGAAATGCATTTCTCACTCTATCAGGCTTGCCATGTGCACTGCTTACATTTCATCAATCACTTGGTTAGGGTTGGATGCAAGAACACTTCACACAATTTCCCCAGAAATAGCAGATTTTCTAGTTAAGTGTTCTTGCATAGCAGGAACACTTATTGTTATCTCACAAATATATTCTTATTTTTATTCTTATTATAGCCAAATTTGCCACGCTAACTCCTCCCACAGTTTTTACACTATAAAGACAAGTAATATATCAAAACGTGCGGACTGTTCCCGATCGGATTGCTATGACTTTGTGGAACGTTTCGCCAAATGGTTTACGAAATATCGCGGTTTTTGTGGTGAAATTTTCCCATAGGAATCAATGGAGCAACTAGAGTGGCAGCAGAGAAAAGCTAGAGTGTGGAAGAAAAAATCAGGACATGATTTCTAAACTGCCATCACTCTGTCATTTTCAAGCCCACCTACACATATCTTATATCAAAACATTCAGCTAACCCTGCTGCCACTAAAAATGTTCACGACTAAGCCATAGTCCTGACAGTTTTCACAATATGACCATTTGTTTGCAACTCACGCCGCCCATTGACTTTCATTGAAACTTCACTCATAGCCACCTGAAATTTGAAGGGACATTTTTAAACTGCGACTGTGCTTTCATTTTTAATATTTCAGAGACATACTATACATCAAAATGGTTCTTGTGATTCTCACAATATAAAGCTCTTCGCAGTAGCATTTATACTTTTAAAACTACAAGTGTTTGAAGATGGCAATCGCCAGTGAAGTTGGCAAGTTGGAGCAGTGTGTTTAGAAAAGCCCGTCAGCTTCCTGTGACTGAGTGAGTGAGTTGCCATAGCAACCAAAGATGACTCACCAGGCAACTGAGTGACCAAGGCTAGACTGTGAGCTGCAAAATAAAGGTTGAAATGCATTTCTCACTCTATCAGGCTTGCCATGTGCACTGCTTACATTTCATCAATCATTTGGTTAGGGTTGGATGCAAGAACACGTCACACAATTTCCCCAGAAATTGTACCTTTTCTAGTTATTATTACACTTACATTTATATTAATTTTCAAATATGGACTTGGATATATCGATGTGATTTTTTGTTTTCACTAAGAATAATTAGCACAGCAATATATTTATATAGAGTGATATATGTGATACACAGCATCATTTTTATTAATCTCTATTAATTTTAAAATTTTTATTCATTTTTATTAGTATATGGGAGTGTGACACTGCTTTATATATTACTTTTAGTACAGCTATATTATTATTATTATTTTTTTTTTTTTTTTTTGCTGTTTCTCCAAAATGATCAGACAACTAATGCATTTACTAATGAATGTCATACATTCTATTTTCAAATGTTAAACATTTTCACACTTATCTCAAATAATTTGGATAGTTCTAATTTCCCAATATAATTATATATCTTCATTCTCTTTAATCATGTAACTATTCTATGTTAAAGTCAAGTGCAGCGCTATAAATGCATGTGATCAATAATGAACGCATGTAAAAACGAAAAAGTGCAAAGAATTGCAATAATGATGTAAAATGGTAAATGGTACTCTCACACGAAGGACATTCCATTATTCCGGAATGATTATATGAACTTATTTTAGCACCAACTCAGAGAGTGCCTATGAATGGCACGTGTGGTTTCTCCGTGGCGGACAGTAGTGCATGAACTCGTGAAAGATAAACCACCCTTGGGACTGGTCTACACTCACCAGAACAAAAGTATTAATGCGCATGGGTTATGCACATCACACATCTGGGGGTGCAGCGGTATGCTGGCAGCTATGGGTTAGTCATCCAGCTCCAGCCATCCATCCATCAGGGTGGGTGCCCAAATGGTCCTGGGGAGGAATTAGCTCAGCCACAGGAGCCAAAAAGGTGCTTAATAGTGTAGTACACTGTCACAAGAGTGGATGACCTTTCACGAGTTCATGCACTACTGTTCGTGGTTATATTTATCTTGTGTAATACCATTTTAGTAGTCTATATAATTTGACCAGCGCTCGCTCTATCATTTTTAAACAATGTAACTATTCTACATTGTAGCTCAAACTGTGTCTCACACAGTGGTTTAGTGGTTAGAACTCAGAACCTATAGCACTTGGGTCATGGGTTCTAATCCCAGTCATGGCTGCATCCCAGTTTACATGCTTTCCCTGTATGGATGTGTTTCTGCCAAAACTCAAAAGACATGCTGTTAGTTTCATTGGACCTTGTTACCTGGCTGAGTTTCTGTCCTTAGATTATAAGCTCCTTGACATTTATGACCGTTAAAAAAATGGAGATCAATTTTCTGGGTTGTGTCAGTGCCAGGAATATTGATCAATCAATTACGATTTTACCTAATGACTAGAAAGTGGATGAATGTTACCTGCGTCCTGTTCTTCTGCCAATTAGGAAATGTGCAAGTTTCATGCTGTGTATATTTCATTGTTTCATTTCATTTTTTCTCTTCTTTTTTAAATCTGTCTCCTTATACGACTTGACCCCCTCCCCCACCCCATCATCACCTGTCCCATATGCAAATCTATGGATCACCGCCCCACTCTTTTTAACTATTTACTGATCAAGTGAATGTGTCTCATTTTCTATCAGCTACAGCTCAGATCTCACATTATTATACGATTGCTGATTGTATATCACCACTAGTCTGATTGAATTCACAATCCCTGGTCAGTCCCGTTCTCTTACCTCTAATAATCTTTAGGACCAGTTCACACTACATGTGTTTCAGTTGCTTTTTCGGCATCACAGAAAGAAGGTTATATGGTTGTCAATGTCATAGCTCACATCAGCGCTTGCATTTTCAGTGCATTGCAGGTGCTGTAAACAAAGTTGACCACGCTGCATTGTTTCTGCACAGAACTGTACTGGAACACATTGAAATGTCCTTGAATGTACTAAAACACACATGTCCCTAATTAAATTGAATAAAATTAAAGTAGAAAAAAATAACTGGAAGGGATACAAAAATGCAATGCAACGTGTCCAAAACGCATCCAAATGTACTGGAACACACTAAACATGCATGCCAAAAGGGCATGCAAAAATGCTTCAGGAAACACATCTAGACTGTTTCTATAGTGTGAACTGGCCCTTAGGACTTGTTCACACCATTGGTGGTGCAGAAACGCATGCAAGAACACACATTTTCCAGCACAGCAAAGAAATGCAATGCCCTTTGCAGATGTGCGCGGTTAGGTGCAACACACACTTTAAAATAATATGCCTACAGTATTTTTGCATGTTCCCACAAATTAGGCAGGCCATTGAAATTAACGAGCTGAGGAAAAAAAAAAAAAAAAAAAGTAAAAAATGCCCCATTCACACAGGTCCTCTGGCCTGTACAGCATGAATGAGTGGGTTGTTTATGTGGCTAGAGAGACCTGTTACACTGTGGGGACACAGCAGCTGTATAAACACAGGTTTTAATCTGACAGGTGTGAAGGCATGGGGAAGTGGCCCTGAATGCTCACTGTCTGTGTTCAGGGCTGTACACCTGCACCCATATGCTTGTCAAATTATGACCTGCAGCAATTCCATAGTGTAACATAGGTTGCCTGCAAACGGCGATAGCCACAAAAACAAACCACTGATTCCCACTCTACAGGCCACA